GTCTTCTTTTGGAAGGCCAAACAAAGGAGTTTCTCTTTCACAACGAAACACACAGCGCCTTTACGACTTGGCGGCAGTAACAATACTACAGCGAGAATAAAAGTTATGCCTTCTTTCTTTGCGTGAACATTTGGGCGGCGTTAATCAAATCTTCCCACATAGTGACGTAGACATGTTGGGGGCGTGTTAGAACGAGATGTTCTAGGTAGGTGTGGCTGACCCTTAACTTTTATAAAGAATATCTCTTTGGATTTGAGACTTTAGTCTTTGCAACTTTACAGATCTTCTTTATGCACCAAGAGCTTGTAACACTCCAAAGAGAAAGGAACAAATGAAATCGCATCATATGACCCCTTTAATATGTTCTTTGAGGTTCACTTATAATGTTATAAAAAAAATGTGCACAAAAAAGAATAAATCAATAAAAATAAAATAAACAAATATGTGGAAAAAATATTTTTTTTCAACCCTCGTTCTGACCCTCTCTCAGAAACAGGCTGTTTTTAAGGGGCGGGTCCTTTAAGGCTTGTCAGTATTTGGCCACTGTTATGGGAAGGTTAGGATGATTCCAAGAACCTGACGCGGGAGGGGTGCCCCGGAACGCGATTACTACCGAGGGGCCCCTGCATGGTGTTCATTACAGTCAGACTGATACCATGTGCATTAGTGGGAGGAATGTTTACATCAGTATGTCAGTAGCAGGTGACAATTTGACTGCCTTTTTGAGCGAATCATTGAATCATTCACTCAACCAATTTGTTCAAAATGACTTGTTCATTGTGTGTTGCGTGGTTGATTGTCCTTTGTTTCTAAGGTACTCAATATTAACTTTTTTTTATCAAGCTCTTGTATAGAAGTAATCACATTCACAATCATGCTTGTGGTCTGAATATCAGTAGATAAATGACAGCATGAGGTTTTTGTCCTGTTGTCTTTGATTTTGACTCATGTCAGCATTTCATTTCCTGTGCAGGATGTGCTGAGTTTGGCTGAAAACACTTAGTGTCCACAACAATTGCCATTCGATGCAATAACTTATATGGTGAGAGCTTAAACAACCATTTAATTAATGATTAAACAATCTCCTCTTCTCTCTCTTGTGTTCAAGAAGTGATGAGTTACTTATATCCTTCATTTAAGCAGATTTAGATAAACCCTTATTGCTCTTTACAGCCTTAAATAAAAAGCCCTGTTTTCCAATATTCAGAAACAGCAAACAGTGGATCACGCCGACAACTGTGAGCTGTATTTCTGTGCGGGTTGATGTTCCATTTGCCATATTTGGAAATACAGACACATTTGGAGCATATTATGATATAAAGATGTTTATGTAAGCACTCAATAAGTACTGCTTCGACTCTGAAATGTAGGACAACAGGATGTTCTCGAACAAGAAAAAAAGGGCTTTGGTTGGTTTTGGTAAAGAGAAATTTACCTGATGCCAGACTTTTTTTTCAGTCTCATATAAGCTTCCCAGTTCCCACACACACACACTCACAGGCCTGCAGTATGCGGAAGTCTGGAGATTAATGTCTGCTGGTGCTTATGTAAACTGATGTGCTGTCTCTCTTTGATCAATGAGGTTCTTTTTTATTGACTTGATAACAAGATTATTCTCACCAGACAAAAGTGTGTCTGCGTGAAAAGAGATCTAGTGTACTGGTCCCTATGGTACTGCCATCCCATTAGGGGAAGTTGTAACCATCCCATTGCCTCCTCTGCCCTGTGAATTCCTCAGAACCCCAAAAAGTTACATTTAAGTGGATATTGTGTACTGACAAGCATTTTTAGTAAACTCAAATATATTTAAATGCCATTTCTATCCAAACTTGCATGTCATGTATTCCAATATATTAGTTATTACATATTTGTAATGATGTTGCTATTTAGTAGATTTAAAATATATTAACTTTAAATGTAATGTAGTGTAAACACACTACATGTAATCAAGTACTTTATATGTGCTTCAGTATGTTAGCCAACACTTCAAAATAAGTGTACTACTGTAAAGTAAGAATAAAGATAATAAAAACATAATGATCTAAAAGTTACTTTAAAGTAAAACTTTTAATTTAACATCATTACAAAGTGCACTTTTTAAAACTGTACTTAAGTGTGTTAAGATGTATAGTCATAAAAGGAGAACTGTCTTCAAGTACACTTTAGTGGCCTTTAATTTCATTAATATTATATTATCTGCAAATATGGTTTTTAAAAATATACTCGTAAGATTTAAAATACACTGCTAGTGCGCATTCAGTACAATTAAGCAAACTTATTTTTCACAAACGATTTGCATTACATTACAAAATGAGGACAAAATATTGCAACACTTTGTTGATGTCACTTTACCTAAATAATTTAACTAAAAATGAAAATGCTGTCATCATTTACTCACCTTCATGTTGTTCCAAACTTTCTTTCTGTTGCAGAACACAGAAGATATTTTGAGAGATGTATCTGTGTTTTTTTGTCCAGTGAAAGTCATTGGGGCCTAGTGCTGTTTTAGACGCCACCGACTTGTATTGTATAGACAAAAACAGTTGCAGCATACTCCCGAACGTCTTCTCTGTTTTGCAGGAGAAAGAAAGTCATATGGGTTTTGAACTACATGAGTGAGAATAAATAAAATTATGAGAGAAGTTTCATTTCGGG